GATTTGTACCCCCACTTTATTTTCACTAACCTAAATGTCTACCTTTTTCTCCAAAATATGTGTCAGAATGCACAAAATCAATTTATTTTTTCTAAAATTGTCTTGAGAGAACTCTCTAAGACACTCTATGAGAAGCTTGCGATTATGACACCACCACAGAGTAGCTAACATTTGAATTCAGTCTCAGCAGTTGTCCCTACATTGAGTCTGTCTGCACCCTAGTTGTACCCCCAGTCTCAGGAGGCTGGCGCCGCCACTGGCTATCACACAAAAAATATAAGTCATGAAGTCATATCTTTACAAATTAATGCCAGAAAACTTGGCAAATATCACTGATGATTATTAATCACATTCAATATTCTATTAAAGGTAAAAAAAAAAGGTGAGACCAAGGCCAAAAATAAGGTGTTACAATAACAGTAATTAGTTTAATAATAACTATATATTTCTAGATCTGATAACTATATAGGCCTACGCTAACAGCACCACCAACCAGTTCGTTAAAAATAAACATTGTATTTCACAGTATCCTAGATACAGCATTTCAAACTAACCGGGATTGTAAAATATATAACTGGCAAATGCTAAAAAGATTGACTGAAATAATAAAATATTTAATATTATAGAGTATGAAAAATGGAAATACTGCAGACTCTGTCGTGTGTACGGTAAAATTGATCCCACAGACGGACAGACAGGGTCGACAGCAAAAAGTTCCCCCTCACTTGTATCTGAGAGTATGAAAATTACCACCTCGTTAAGCCGCGAATAGACGAGGTGCGGTGTCCGGTGCGGTGCCCAGTTCCGTGCACGATGATAGATACAAACGACACGATTCGTATCTTCTATTTTCTACTGTATCCCGACAATTCCGCACCGGACACCGGACATCGTCTATTCGCGGCTTTTGAAAGTAGCCTACAGTAGGTAAACTAAAATATATGTTTTCACAATACATCAACAACTAACAAAGATTATAAAAACGTGCGGATTAGAATAACAACTATTCAAATTATAAATCTCTAGTGAAAAATGTGTAATTTTGTTTCAGTCGTCTGACAAATCTTATATTTTAGTTTAAATTAGATTGCCGATAATGCTGTGGAAATTTTGAAAACGAAGAAGAATAATTTGGTGATTAGGTAGCAAATTGGACTAATAGGATCAAAAATAATTGTCTGAATTCGTTTTTTTAATATGAATTACCTAAAAATAACTCGTCTACCTTATTGATATTATGTTATCAAATTTCTTTCCTAGACGACGACTTAGTTTGAGATAGAAGACAGTTAGCCAAACACAGATATAATAAATATTAAAACAGAACCTGAACCATATTGTTACTCAGAGTTTCACGCTGTGCTGATTTTATATAGACACAGCTTTATAGAACAAAAATCACTGGATATAGTTTTATGCATCGTTTCGACATGTTTCCCTGTCTTTCTCAAGCACATAAAAGGAGAGAAATACGTCCAAACGTTGCATGTAGAAACAGCATTGAACAACAATTACTGGTTTAATTTGTATGCAACGTTTTGACGGTTTAAACCATAGCACATACGACGCGAGAAACGCATCGAAACGTTGCATAACACTTTAACAAGCGATTTTTGGACCAGTATACAGAATAAATATTGAGAAATCTTGCCTACCTAATACAGTGATTACAGTTCTAAAGAATTCACCTAAATTTATCCCGTATTAAATCAAGTAACTTGAATTACGTTCACGGCTTCAGTATGATCATTTCATTTTAAAAACATCTACACCAGTAAATCTTAAATATAGATTCTTTACTTCATTCAAAATATAAACAACGTTGATAGAAAATCGAAGAAAATCTCCTGGGTTTTATTGTACACAACGTTTCAACAATTTACATTGTCATCATCAGTTTATATGGTATACTACTCCTAGGTTTTATTGTACACAACGTTTCAACAATTTACATTGTCATCAGTCTATATGGTATACTCCTGCTGTGTTTTATTGTACACAACGTTTCAACAATTTACATTGTCATCAGTCTATATGGTATACTACTCCTAGGTTTTATTGTACACAATGTTTCAACAATTTACATTTATGATAGTGTTCCTTTTCTATGAAATTCACTAAAAAGGACAATACAATAAGTTTAAATATCTGGTCTGTATGACTAAAGTAATTATTGACAACTTACTTTAATAATAGTCACTAATATTGTTTTATTATAGCTACCTTCGTTTCGTCCTTCAACACACGACACTGTGATATATAATTCTAAGATGTACATATTATTAATAATCCTATACAACTAATCAGATCTTCTTGATAAACAGCTGCAGAAAAGTAGGACGTAAAACTCCATTCATTACATTCATTTGATAAACAGCTGACAACAGTTTTTGAAGTATAATACCTGGAAGAAAATCCGTTACAACTAACTAAGCAGTACTCCAGTTCGAAGCACGCTAACGACACAGTATTCACTTCTCTCTTCAGTCTATGCAACAGACGAATGAAGTTTGAATCAAGCAACGTGCATGATATTCTGTCCTTCAGACCATACAATAATGACAAATAGTTTACTATGACATCCACCATTCAAAGAATATACTTACTTATGTCCTATCTTATTAATTAACAGGTGTTTTTCCTGGCTCAAGTGTGATCTTCATAGTATTTAATAATATTAAAAATAGTTTATATCAATTACTCAATTCATTAACACTAGTAAAGTATACTCACGCATTGCGCTAATGAAAACGAACGGACAACCCCACGCAGTGTGCAATGACGGGAAATTATAACTAATAATTGTGATACAGCTTTTCAAAATACCACTTGAGAAATCTAAAAATTAACTTCCCTTTGGTAAGGTTCAGAAACTCACTTTGATTGAAGTAATTTTAGTAAAATGTGCTCCATAAATTTAGTTCATAGCAAAGATATCAATAGTCTTAACTGATAACTTATAAACAATCAGAAATAATATCTTTATCGCTCTGTTATAATAATTAATATATTGAACACTATATAATGAAAAATAAACTAACTAAACCTTAGTAAACTAACCAGTACTTGTAACTGAATAGTCCTTACTTCGGACCTAGGCCCGTGCTTTCTGTGAGTTAAATTCTCATTCACCTTAACACTATTAGAATGATACCATAAACTTTTTATCTTACCGTATAACAGACTTATATCCAAATGCACAGATTTTCACATAAACGACGTTTATTTCATCTAATTGTAAAAAGTGCCCATCGATTCGGTCCCATATATCAACATAAATATATCCACCGAATGAACAGTGTTGCATTAACTAACAGCAATAGTTTAAGGCCGCTGACCGTGTTTCGGATATACAACCGATTAAGAATATCCATCTGTATGGAATCTGACTGTGTCCATTACTACTCTCGACCAGTATATCAACATTA